TAACTCTGACAACACGTGTTGCTGCTTTATACTTTATACAATTGTGCTCCACAGGGTTTTCAAGGCTGTGACCTTTCTGAAGCAAATCACCAGGCCTTTCTTCTGAGACACTTCTGGATGGGTTCCAACTGCCGATTTTTCTTTTTTTTTTCAAAGAATGGTATCAGTGCCTAATGTGTTTGCTTCAAACATGATATTCCAGTGTTGTTTAAAATACTACGCCTAATGTATCTATCAAGAAGTATTGCTACCTAATTTCTGTACTTTCTACTGTCTTCTACATCCACCACCACCACCACCTCCATGTGGATCTCCATAACCTCTTCCACCACAGCCCCCTCTTCCACCCTAATCCCCTCTTCCACTGTAATCTCCCCTCCCACCATAATCTCCCTTGCCTTGGACACCTCCTCTACCACCACCTCCTCCTCCACCCTCCCCTTCCACCACCCCAGCCACCTCTTCCATCACCTTCTCGTCTCTTTTGCCATGGGGGCATTTCAGGGAAAGGGGGTTCAATTTCCTTTGGTCTTCCTCCCCATCAGACCCTCTTCCCATCAGCACCTTATTAATGACACATGCCATCTTCTCCTGGCTGGTGCCACTACCTGTCCTAATGACCTTGGATAGATCTTCATGAGCAGCATGCAAATGTGCCAATGTAATAGCTGTCTTGGGTAACAAAGCATCATGTTTAGGCTGGCAAACTCTTGCTATGTCATCTGTTTTTACCTTTGCTCTATCAGACCACCCGAAGGACTACACTGTCACATCTAAACATTTCATTAACATTCCTCGGCAGCATTCGTATTCACAGGAAAAAGCATCATTGACTCTTTCCAGTTGTTCTGCCTGTTCTGGATTTAAATCAATTTCCAGCAGTGGTTTTCCTGTATGATTTCTCTGGACTTTTGAGAGAATATCCTTCACTTTTGATTCCACTTGGTTTAGTGTAAGTGGGAACGTCAGACGTTTTTGACTTGGGTACAGCAAGGGTTTCACAGAAAGCTTGAACTTCTTTCACTATTTTTATCTGAGAATTTTTACATTTTTACATTTCTTGTTTTGTTAATATCTGTAAAGATATTATGGCCAGGAGTTAAGCACTTAACCATGTGTGCCACCTATGCCACCTAAAGACCCCCTCATGCTCCAAGCAGAAAAGCAAGTCCTGTCAGATCCACCATCACAATATATCCATAAATCCAAATTCATCATGATCAGCTTGGTCCAAGCCACCACCATCACACCTGGCCGACTGCAACAGCCCCTGACAGTCTCCTTGCTTCCAGCTTTGCCCCTTTAGTTTTACTCAACATCGAGCTAGTTATGATCTTTAAAACATCAGATCATGTCCCTCCTCTGCACAAAACGGAAGACTTCCTCACCCCCAGGCTTAGCACTTCTACTCCTGCACACCTTCACCCTTCATGCTCCTCTCCCTATTCCCCTTATTCCCAGAGAACTTACTCAAATCTGCTAGATTCGAGCTCCATAGCAGTGTGTGAGCAAGTGTTCTTCACAGATGTATTGCCTCTAGAATGGATTTGGCCCTTAGAAGACCTTCAATAAATACGGGTTTGTAAAAATGGTATGAGAGGCATGTGATCTCCTCTAACTTCACAAGGAGGAGGATCAAGATCAACAACCTAAGGCTGATTCCTGAGATCAGACAGGCCTCCACCCTCCGAACTTTTCACCATTTCTGACACCAACTGTCCCTCTGTGGTAGTTATGTTTGTGTGTCTACTTGGCTGGGCCTGGTTGAGTGGCTGGGCAGCTGGTGGTAGTCATTCCCCATGAGACTGGTAATCAACTCCATGGTCAGATCTACCACAAGCAGCTGAGTAGCTGGCTTTGGTATGTGGTCTGCTTCCTATATATAGAGAAGCCTAGGGACTGGTCTCTAGTTTATAGTGCCCTTGGACCCTGCATGTAGCCATGTCGCTGTTCAGCAGCCTGCCATGCTCTGCTGACCTTGGGACTTCCAATAGACTTGAATTAATGGCCTGCCATGTGGTTCGGTAACACTGGGACTGTGCCATTTTATTTGTCCACCTTGGGCTTGGCAGCCTCAGCAGCCAGTAGCTGCCTGGGTGAAGAGATGCCTCTAGCTTCAGTAAGCCAGGAGTAAGAGGCAGAGCTGAAGCCCAAGGTCAAGGGGCTTTTCACACAGCCCCTAGAGCCTGCCACTTTGAACTCAGACTTCTAGCCTCCTGAACTGTAGAATAAACGCATTCGTTAAGGCCATCCCATTTGTGGTACATTCCTGTCAGAGAGGCACTAGAACACCTTCCCACAGCACTCTCTACTTCTCTGCTGGGTTCAATAATTTGTTGCAATAGCCACACACAGAACTCACAGATGATACGATTACGGAGTTTTTTAGGAAGTAACAGGTTACAATTCAGGATCAGAAATGACTCAGCATACAGTTCTTTGATTGGGACAGTGTCTTCTCAGTAGTGCCCACAGCCATACCTTTCTGGCCCTTGGCCTCTGCCCTGTGCAGGCGTGTTACATAGTTCTGCCAGTAAGCCTTGGCCCAAAGGTGCTCAGCTTTCCTGCCCAGTGGGTCCAGAAGCCCAGTGTGTCACCTTCTGCCAGTCTCCTGGTGACGCTGCCGACTCTCTGCCAACATTTGTCATCTCAGCATCATAGCTGTCTGCTGGGTTTAAGGAGGTTCAGTGACGGGATCTTGGGTCCAAAGGACCTACTCCACTCCTGGTCTTTTCCTGATGGTAGAGATCCCCTCCGCTGCCCCCAACCCATGCCCGCCCCTTCCAGCCTCTGGGATGGCTCATCTTAAGTCTAGTGGGATGGCAAGACTGAGCAATCCTATTAGGGTGCCATGCACCGTATTTACATTAGCAAGCTAGTCAATCCTCTTGGTGGGCCACAAGCACCTCACATTCGCACAGCCCCTCCCAGTCGCTTGGCAGTCACAAAGACTATACCCGTAAGGGCCATACCAAGCAATTCACCGCACTGCAGGCTGAATGTTTCACCCATATGAAGCCATCAAAGTTGTACTGAGAATTCAGTGAGACAATACTACCAATGTACAATTACTCTTAAGAAATTCTGTAGGGAAAATTTCTGGGTCAAAGAATATGAACCTTTTAGAGACCTTTTTATTTCGAAAAAACATTTTTAACAATTAAGTAGCCTTGTGTAAGTTTTCTCGTGTCAGGTATTTGGTGGGCATTAACATCACGGTTCCCTTAACTTGGATTACTATTTGTACTGGGCTGAAGAGTGTCCCCCAAAATTCTTATCCACCTGGAACCTCACAATGTAACCTTATTTGGAAACAGGGTCTTGGCAGAGGCTAAGATGAGGTGGTACTGGATTAGGGTGAGCCCTAAATCCAATGACTGGTGTCCTGTAAGACAGGCAGGCAGGCAAACACTCCCACAGAACAAGGTTTGCCATGTGAAGGCAGAGACGATGTGTCCACAAGCCAAGAAACACCTAGGAAAGAGGCGCACAGCAGATTCTCCCTCACAGCCTCCAGCAGGAACCAACCCATCTTCACCTATGGTTTCGGACTTCCAGCTTCTAGACCGTAAGATAAGCACTTCTCTTGTTTTCAGCCACCCAGCAATTTATTGCAGTGACCTAAGAAAGTAACACACTACTAATTTTTCCACTTTCACTGATCTTTTGGGAAGCTGTGATTTGAGCCAATTTCCACAAACGAAGAACAGTTCTGGTGAAAAGAAGTTGCCAACCTTCCCTCTGACCACCCTTCAAGAGGCTTTTCTGCCTGTGACAGAATGCAGACCTGCCCGGACACGCCTGTGCCCAACTGCCTTCACACAGGAACCAGACCCACCAGAGCATGCTGTTCCTTCAAGGGTCCCAGCTCTGAATCTGCATGATGCAACCTTCTCATCTTTCCTCCTGCCCACACTACCCTGATCCAAGCAGATCCTTCAACTCTTCCAGTTATTTCCTCTCACGTCCCAGGCCCCCTCTCTATTCACCCAGCAACCTGAAAGACCTTCAGAAGATACAAATCTCATCATCATTCCCGATTAAAATCCCTGTGCGGCCTCCTACTTGAGAGTCAAATTCAGACAGGTACCTACATGTCTGTCAGCCACAGTGGACTATTCCCACCTGGGTCACCACTGCAGACCCAGCTCACAGAAGATTGTCTTAAGATTCTGCCTTACCTCTCCTCCGAGACTGAGTGGAGACATGAACAGGGGAATTGCAGTACCTACTCTTTCAGGAGTATGAGGGCAAGATTTCTGGAAGGTACCCAATGGGAAAAAAAAAAGAGTCCCCTGCAATTATGTAAAGTAACATGAACTGGGATGAAGAAGAGATCAAGACTTCCAGTGACTTGACAAATCAAATCTCAACTGTCAGGCCCAACCTGTTTTGCTGCAGGATAAGAACTTGGGAGTCTGAACGCAGAACACAAGAGCACTCAGCCACTTTCTTAGGGAGAAGGGAGGATCAACTTTTAATTGTAACTAACCAAACTGTGTCTAGGAATGTCTCCAAACAACTTATCAAAAGAAACATGATAAAATTCTTCTACTGAAGAAACCAAGAGTTTCTGCTGGCCCCAGTGCTCCCAAGGGTCAAGCCACGAGCAGCCCCTTCCAAAGGCTGGCTCTGTTCCCTATACAAGTTTCTCACCCCAAGAGGCGGGTTGGGATGGATGAAGGACCTGTCTTCCTCCTCCCATCATGCTGGAAACTCTTAGAAAGTCACTGGTGGGGTCTTTCCTCCTGCCCCTCATCTTGTCCTAAGAGAAATGGAGACCTTCTGGGTGCCATCCACAAAGTCAGAGAATGGGGTGAGGCAGCCCCAGTGCCCTCAGCCAACTTTTGCCTCAGTCTACTCAGCTAATTCTGCTCAGAGTAGAAATGAAAATGTGCACTAGAGAGAAAACCTCAAATGCCCTGTAATCTCCACAATGCAAGTCACACAGCAGAAGGTAAAACAAAACAGGCCTAATGGAAAGCAACTGTGGCCAGCCCTCAGAAGACACGCTCAAACTCCGTCTGGTTGGTGGTGGCGGGATTGCGGCTTTGGTTGGTGGACTGTTGAGTGATCTGGCTGCCCTTCCGGCGTGGAGGCGCCAGGTACTCAAACATGGACGTCAGGTGGGTAGACAGCATGCTCTTGAGGTCTGAGGGCATGGGGTCAGACCAGAAGAAGTCATGGTTGAGGGCGTCATCGCTGTCAATGCGTTGCGCAGGATCCAGCACGAGCAACTTGTCAATGAGGTCCAGCGCGTAGGGGTCCCGCACGTAGGCTTTAAGCCTATCCTTCACCTTCCGCTTCTGGCCCTTGGGTATCTCCAGCTTCTCAAAAAGCTCGTACTTGTCCACATTTGGCCACATCTAGGGGGCGGGGGTCAACAAGAGAGGACAGAGTTAGTTCAGGGTATGTGTGGCTTGTCTGTTGGTCACTTATTCATATACTTCTGAAGCACCTGAACTAATTAAAACTTACTTACTGGGATGTTCCCCCAAACACCCCTGGAGGGGAAACAACTCTCCAAGGTAAAGGAGGCAGCAGCTGCCACATACTCAGCACATGTACAGTGCTAGACCTTTTATATAAACACCTTGAGTATATATGGCGCCAATGCCAATAAAGGTGTTACTTTTGTTCCATTGGGAGTGGGGTACACCAGCTCTTGGATGAGTGGTTCAAACAGCTTGCCTACATCCCCAGAATTAAATAACAGCGGAACTGAAACTTTACACAGGCTGTGTAGCTCTTAAGAGCAAGCCCTTCCCCTCCATCAACCACCTCTCCAGGGGTAGGTTTTGGATACCATACTCTCCTCTCCCACCCTGCCAGGGAGACTTCTGCACCCATAGGGACCAGCGGCCAGGGCAACTTGGACACGCACCTCAGGGGTGATGGAGCCACAGAGCTGGCTGATGAGGGCAAGCTGGTGCTGCTCGGTGTTGCCCTGCATGATTGGGCTGCGGGTCCACATCTCCGCCATGATGCACCCAGCACCCCACAGGTCAATGGGGGGGCCGTAGTCACGCTCCCCTGGGAAGAAGAGTGGACCAGGAGGGCCCCTTGAGGCCAAGGGCCTCCTGAGATGCAATGCCCCAGGGCCAACAGCTTAGGAAGCCACAGCAGGGGGAGCTGGGGCCAGACAAGTGCCCGGCCCCTGCCCCCCTCTGCCCGCTCGGGGGTCCTCACCGAGCAACAGCTCCGGGGGCCTGTACCAGAGCGTAACCACACGGTTGGTATAGCGGTTGGGCTGGCTGTTCTTGGCCAGACTGAAGGCCCGGGCCAGCCCAAAGTCTGCCAACTTCAGGACCCCGTCTCGGGTGATAAGCACATTAGCTGCCTTCATGTCCCTGTGCAGGATCTGCAGGAAGAACAGGAATGAGGACTCAGCTAGGCTCCTGTGGCCACACCCCACTCTGCCGTGGGAGCAAAGGCTAGCCCAAGGCTCAGTCTCCTCTTTCCCTCTGGTCCTTACCTTGTTCCTATGGATGTAGTACAGGCCATTGAGCAGCATCTGCATGACCTTCTTGATTTCAGACAGTGTAAACTTGACTAAGACATTACTCAGCAACCCAGCAAGGTCATGTTCGCAGAAGTCAAACACCAGGTATATACTGCCCTTGCAACGGTTATAAGGAGAAGCTGAGGTAGGAAGAATCAAGGGTGGGGATGGGGCAGGAAGAAGAGTCAAAAATCTCATATACGACCCATTTTCCCAGCTCCTACCCCCTCTAACCCGTGGACCACCCACATCCTCCAGAGCAGCCACTTATTCTTTCACTGATAAAATATATTTTGAGTGCTCCGAGTCTGGGCCAGGGGCTGTGGCAGGCCCTAGAAGAACCACTTACAATGAGAAAGGACCAGAGAAAGCAGTCACCACTGGTATGTCTGGGCTAAGAAATGTCTAGTTCCAACTTTGCAAACAAAGCCTTAGATCACAAGCCCCATTTTCTTCATTTGAAAATGGGGGACAGGAGCCAAACAACTTACCTTTGGTCCGACAGATCTCAATCAAGTTGACCACATTCTCGTGTTTCAGAAGCTGGAGAATCTTGATTTCTCGTAAGGCTGTGATGGGAAACTGGGTCGGGGAAAGATGATAAGGGGTCAAAAGTGATTGAGAAGGCTGCAGACCACAGTCAGTACTGGGGTCCAAACTAAGGAACACAAGGTTGGGTGGGAGACAGTAAGAATATGGGCTCTGAAATAGGCTGCCTCCATCCCTTATCTATAAAAAGAATACAGTAACAGCATGCACACCTCAAGGAGTTGGGCTGAGACAATGAACTAAACAGCTTTAACTGAACATATACTCTTTCCTACCACTCACTAAATGCTTCATAGTTTACATCTACCTTCAAACTTTAGCCCCACGCCTATGTTTAACCTGCTATGCAGTAACAGAAACAATTTTAAAATGTCTTTGCTAAGAAATAGGTCCCTGGGGAGTTGGACTGCAGCAAAGATGCAGTGGGGTGGGGTGATGTTCCTTTACAATACATTCTCTCACACGTCATTCACTTTCTAAAACCATAGATATGTGTTTTTTTTCACATAACACAAAATCATACACTAAACAAATTACAAGTATACCTCACTATACTGATAACTTTTTATTTTTAAAAAACAAATGGAAGGTTATGACAACCTTGCACCAAACAAGTCTACTGGTGCCATTCTTCCAACAGCATGTGCTCTCTTTTTGTCTGTATGTCACATCTTGGTACTTCTCACAATGTTTCAAACTTTTCCATAATGCTATTGCACATAAGATCACAGTACAGTGTAAATGTCACTTCTATACGCACTGGAAAACTGAAAAACTCCTGACTTGCTTTACCATATTGGCTTTACTTCGTGGTCTGGAACCCAATCCGCAGGTTCTCCCACGCATGCACGCATGCCTGCCTGCAATTTCTAAAGGCTTCTCAACTCTGAATCAAGGTGCACCCAAGTGCAAGCATGAGCTCCCCCTCCTGGTCCCAACCGTACTTAAAACAAACGCTTCAGAACATCTGAATTAAAAGATACAGTTTGGAGGCCAAAGTCCTTGAAATGTGGCAATATCTGAAACTACCACACATAACTGAATCTCAGCACGAGACTCCTAGAAAAAACAGGTGGAAACACAAACTGGGGTGTTCAGTGGAAGTGGCAAGCCTGCCCATTCGATCCGTACTTACCCCCTCTTTCTCATTCTCCATCAGCACCTTCTTCAGAGCCACCTTCTTGCCAGTCTTCCGGTGCTTGGCCTTAAATACTTCCCTGCAGGCCGAGAGGAGGACCCATGAGGGTTCAGTAAGTCGTTTCCGCAGAGCTCGCCCCTCCCCCACCAGAGGAGGTGGAGCAGGAGAGACTCCCCCGCAGGGCTAGGCCGGTACCGGGGAACTCCGCCACTTTACCACCCAGGATCCTCGGTCCCTCTCCGGGCCTCTGCTCCTTCCCTTAGTCCCTCCTCTTTACCCAGGCGTCTCTAGGAGAGATCCAGCTATCCTCACCAGCTCCTCTCTGCAAACCCTCCCCGTCCCCGACCACAGGCCTCAGGCTCCTCCCAGCCAGCCGGCCCCATTAGGCCCGGGCGGGATGCGGCGCGGCCTTGCAAAACCAGGGGAGGGCTGGCGGCTTCCTAACCACGTCGGGCCCGGCTCCGGTCGCTCCGACGTCAGCTCCGAAGGGTGCAGGCCCAGGGACCCCAGGCTCTCGGGGCCCAGTCTTACCCAAAGGTGCCTTGGCCGATCTTGGCGAGTTTCTCATATTTGGACACCTCATCACAAAAGGGACACTCCACTGAATCGTACTGCTTTGCCATGGCCGCTTCCAGAGCGCCGCCAGCACCTCCACCCGCCGCCGCCGCCGCCGCTGCCGCTCCAGCGCCTGCTCCTGCTCCAGCTCCAGGTCCCACCGCCGTGCTCCAGGCCCCGCCGCGGCCGCGCCACTTCCGCCTCCACGGCCACTTCCGGCCTCGCGAAGCCGACCCCGCCTCTTCCGCCCGGCGTCCGCCGCCAGGCCCCCTGGGACTTGTAGTTCCCGGGAGGCCAGAGGGAGCTTGAGCTGCAGAGGCGCCTCCGCCGCCGCCGCCGCTGGCCCCGCCAGCGCCGCCGCCACTGCCGGCGGTGGCCCCTATTGGGGCTGCGGGGAGCCGGGGCGCCGAAGCTGGGGCTCGGGGCGGTGCGTCCCGCTGCATCGGCCCGGGCCGCTGCTGCTGCCGAAGCTGCTTGCCGTTCTGGCGCCCGATCCGGGGCCAGCCGCAGTGCCCTGCTCCTCCTCCTCCGACGGCACCGCCTCTGCCGGGCTGCGCTGGGCGGCGAGTGAGGGGGCGGTCCCCCAGCCGCGGTCTGGGGGCTCCCTGGCCGGGCCCCGGCCCGGGGCGTCCGGGTTAGGGGGCGAGACAGGAAGAGCCGACGAGGAGGCGGCCTGAGAGCCCGGGAGGGGGCGCGTTATAAAGGGGGAGGTGCCCCGGCCTCG